TTTGTGCAGCAAAAATTTTAGTTTGTGCTGCTTTGGATTTGAAGATATTAATGAAAATGTAAAGGTCAAAAGGTCAACCAGCCCCCCCACCTTCTTCAAATCAGACGAAATAGGTGTCAATTAACTCAGCTCAGTTTGTGCTGGTTTGTGCAGCAAAAATGTTCATTTGTGCTGCTCGGTGTCCGCCAGCAGCAAGAAAGTGTGTGTGTGTGTGGGGGGGGGTTGACCTTTGATGACCTCTACAAACATCTCTTTATATCTTTAAAACGATAGCGGCACAAACGAAAATTTTTGCTGCACAAACGTTTGACACTAATTTCGTCTGATTTGAAGAATGTGGGGGGGCCAACTTCTCTCAGGTGTATAAAGGGGGTTCACAGGAGGAAACCATCTGTTCTCCTCTAGACTTCATCCCCATCATAGGGTGAGGGAGAAGGTGAGTGCGATGGATCCTCCCTTCATTCACGACCAACAAACTTCCTAACAGATATCACACCGAATCTGCTGCGACTGCAAACATTTATTTTATGTAGAAAGCTCAGCGTACGCCAGCGTTTATTTAGGGAGATTCTGGGACATCGGGCATACAACCTCATACAACCCTCCCCTACCTGTTGCTACATGCTGCTGCTCAGCTGGCTGACAGAAATTTGCAAAAATCTATTACTGAAGTGTTTTTGAAAACATTTTGTTTTAAATTAGCTTAATAATTTAATAGTATTTCTGTTCTCATACAGTGAGAATATCCCACTGGTTCACACCTGCATGGAGTGAAAATCCAGAGCGTGAAAGAGGGCACCGAGTTCGTTGAAAATGCACAGTGGGTAAAAGCAGACGACCCGGTCCGTCGGTGAGGGTGACGGTGGGCGGGTCGTCCTTCTGGCTTTGGACGAAGCGGTAGGCTTGTTAGGGAAGCAGACACAATCCTCACTATGTAAGGACCACACCACATAGCGGGCAGATAACTGGGTGACCCCCTCCTCCTCCAGCTCATATCCATATTAGTCACTGTGGAAAGGAGAGAGCAGGATATATATAGGGCCTGGCTCTGAACGGGGGCCGGCCCGGCTAAGGCCGTACGACTTTGAACCTCAGGCAAAAAAAAAACTGAATTTCACTGTAAATATTATCCAGTTAATTAAAATGACTGATTCACATTCTTGCAAGAACAAGTTAGGCATCAACAAGAGATATAGGAAAGTAAACAAGAAGAGATAGAGAGGAGGGTTAGTGATAAAGGAAGAGGTCAATCTGGGTCAAACTAAAATAGCCTACATTAACCGTTAACCAATAAACAAAACGGCTGCTTATAAACCTGAGACACCTGGATAGAACCCAAGTAGGGTAAAAAGATCCACAAACACTCAGAACAAACGGCTCAAACTCTCCAAACAAACATTGTTTTTTTTTTCACTTCCTCATCGAGCCTCTGCTGTGTTACTTGGAAGACGCCTGCATCAGAAAACCCCAGAGGAGGAGCGGAAGGACGGCTTCACGGGAATTTCTTAAATTGGCAGGATAACCGTGACGCTCCGGATGCAGAGGACTCGCAGGTAACAATTAACTGCTGGGTTGTAATTACCCTGAAAGGTGCTGGTTTCAAACATTGTTCCACCTCCAAAGGTTCAACACCTAGAAATAAGCTTACCTAAAAGCATAGAAAGATCTGAGCGATAACTTTAGAGGGGTAACAGAAACTTTATCTTAGCTCTGGCATGTGATTCCAGCACTTCCACCTCGGTAGGTTAACAGATATAGACCAGAGAAGCGGCTTCAAACACCCATATTAACACAGCAATCTTAGATAACATATTTATGGCTCAATCTCTTGAAATTCACCTACATAATGTTTATTAATGACTCTTTTTTAGCCTAATCCTAAAATCCCAGTTTCTAATGAAAATATCTAATCATCAAACACAGGGTAGAGATGCACTGATCCAGTTTTTACCGATCCAATCTGATACATAAACACGAGCGTATGGGCTGATGAAAATAAACTGTAAAAAAAAAGGGAACACAGATTTTAAGCATCACTAGCTGCTGAGCGTGCTCTCCTCTGATGTTATCAATGTAGCAGTATTAAAACTAAAGCTCGTTGCAACTGATTAAAATAATAAGACTGGATCAGCATTATTCTGAAATTCCATCCAGCTAATAAGTCAATATCAGAGCTGATATCCGAGAATCAAATCAGTGCAAATCTACCTGAAGGAGCTGGACAAGAAGAGACAGAATATTTTGATTTCCTAAACCAGAAACTAACAATACTTCATACAATTCCTCATTCATTTTTAGCTTGGCGTCACTAATTTTAACTTAAAAAAATAAAAATAAACTTATCAGTTGCATGCACAAAAACTACAGCATACTGATATAAATTTGTGCAATTTAGGTGTTCCCTTAAAATAAAAACAGAATTAAAACTGCATGTTTGTTCACTGATTAACTCCTGAAAACAACCTGGCGGCTATAAACCCATGAGATATATCCACAGTTCATCCACGGCTCTGGTTTTTACTAGGGGTGTGCAAAATAATCGTCATGATGATGCATCGTGATTCTAATTTTCGTGATCTACTGCATCGATTCTTGACGCCAAGTATCGATTATTAATTAAAAAAAAATGAATAAATAAAATTGCATGAATAGTTGGTGAACATCAGCCAAAAACAAGTGTAATACAACTTCCAGTCCAGTAGATGTCGCTGCGGATGTGTTGACGCACGCTGCCTTGTGTCACAAGCCTTTCCGGCTGCGGGATTCTGCGCTGAGTCATTCAAAAACAAAACATGGAGGAGAAAATATTGCAATGCATCGCAATAATTCAAGTATCGTGATGCATCGTGATAGAATCGAATCGTGGCTTCTTTGGCACTACCCACACCTAGTTTTTACCAAGGCAGTAAGTCCAGTTGCAGAGCAAAGGACTTGGATGATGCAGGGGGAAAAAAGTCGCTCCACTGCAATTTTGCAAAATATAACAATTTCGAAACAAAAACATTTTTTAATCACCAAAACTAGTTTTTTTTTTTTTCTAAATAGCTGTGTTTCCATTCAGCAAAATATATTTTCTGTTTTGGAATCTGCTAATAGACCAATTTCATGGAGACCACAAATGAACCCCTCTAGATAAAATCCTAGAGCAGAGAACCAAAGTATCTGATCAGGTAAGATCTGTAACTGTAAATCTAGATTGTGATATTAAAGGAATAGTACACCCAAAACATGATTAGCCTTCATTTTCTACTCACCCCCATGCTGAACAACACTGTGGAGTACTTTTTTGATATCTCAAATGCATGCATTCCGTAGCATTGTGATCGCGCATGTGCGCGCTTTCAGGAAATCCTATACACTACTGTTTATGCTCTAAAAACATTCTAAATGACTTCGTTTCGAGTAAATTCTGGATGCTACCCACTCAGGACACTTGGAATACATTGGACGAGCAGTATGGAGGAATATTGACACGTTTTTTGGGGACTTTTATGGACCTTTCTGTCTCGGGCACCACAGACCTCCATTATTTGAATGTCAGCAGACAGCAAGAAGCCTCCCAGATCTCCAGATGCATTTGAGATTTAAAAAAAGTACTCCAGAGTGTTGTTCAGCATGGGGGTGAGTAGAAAATGAAGGCTAATCATGTTTTGGGTGTACTATTCCTTTAAGTATAGAAAAAAACCCTGCATACTTGGGCCAAACCCACTCTAGATTCTTACATCTGTCGTTTGCAGACATGTGACTGCCAGTAGATGGTGTGCCTTGCATCAGCCTCTTCCCATAAACAGCCCTTAAGCAAACATTTAGAGAAAAAAACCAAGAACAAAACCCAAAACGTTTCTCTAAAAGCTGGTTCCAGCCCAAATAAAAATGCAACACGTCCAATTTTCTAAACCACAACATCATGTGTGAAACAGCTGAAAAACAACGCGGTCCTGACACATCTCTCCTGAATAACATCAACACAAAACACATTCTAGTGGAAAAAAGACACAAAAACAGCTCCGGTTGTTGATCAGCTTTCTATGGAAGCCCATTTCCGCCACTCTGTTAAAAAAATAAAATTTATCATCTCATTATTTTGAGTTACTACCTCATTACAATGAGATAGTAACTCAAAATAATGAGATAGTAGCTCATTAGAATTATTTTTTTTAACAGAGTGGCGGAAACAGGCTTCCATAGATTTCCAACCTGCTGCTGCAGTAATGCATCTTAATTGATTTGTTGTTCTTTTGAAAAGCTTATCAGAGCATGAATGTTTGGAGATGTCAGAGCAGGCTAGCCTTTGATCCGTTCTGAAGGGCAGACCACATGTACAAACCCTCTGAATCCTTTCTTGCATATCTCAAAACAAAAACACTAAACTCTGCAGACACAGCAGGATTGCAGATAAGACTACAGTCACCCCACACTCAGCCAAAACTTTCTAGCCACTTTATGCTCATTTTGGGATTTTTAAAACGAGGTTGGCACCACAACATCTTGTCTCCAGGTGATTTTGTTTTTAATATCCACAATAAATTATCAAAAGGGTGAGTCACAGGCTGAGCAAGAGTGGGAATTAATCCCAACAACTATGGTCAGGTTCGGATCAAACCATTTCCTCCACCCACAGATAAACAAAGAGATGAGGAGCAGAAAATACCTGATAATCTCTTGATGAGGCAATCAGATGATGACAGCTTATAAAAAGTACATTATTAGTCATGAAGCCTCCATTTATTGAGTTAGTTTAAATCCCAGGAACAGGTTGAGTGAGTCATGGCTTCAGTAAAGGCTCCAATATGTCTTTGTTAGGTCAAAAGGAAGCAATGGGATGAGTAAAGCCTGCTGCATCACCAGGAAATAGTCGGTTCTCATTGCAAAACTCTTAAACGCAAACCAGAAAATACCCCCCACCCCCCCAAAAAAACAGATCAACTGTTGCAACAACTACTTTAACTCTCTGATGTATCATTAATTTAATGTGTAAACTTCTCAGAGGTTGGACGTACAGCTGGTTGATGTGATTCTTGGACCCCACCGCGTCGTCGTTGAAGTAGGGCACCATCTTGGCCCCGCAGCAGGAGCAGAAGCTGACCGCCGAGGAGCCGCCAGAGCCGGACACCGTCCCGAGGGTCATGCCGGTGGCTGGAGGGCGAAGCGGCCGCTGGGGGAGAGGAGAGGAGGCTCCGAGCGCTCCTGGTCGGAGGAAGAGCTTCTGCTCCTCTTTAACGGTCATGGGTTCCGACAAAAAAAAAAAAAAAAGCCGGGGTCAAACGAGTGTCTTGGTTGTGGACCGTGACGAAATATTCCCCGTGAAACCGAAAAAAAAAAGTTTTAGAAAGCTGTTCTGTGTGTCAAACAGGGGGGCTATATGCGGCGCGGTGTCGCCCTGCTGCTGGTAGTAGAGCCTGGTTTTCCATAACCTCCGAAAAAAGCGACAAAAAGTCCAAAGTTTGACTGGTTTGTGTGGCGTTTGGGCGACATCCTCCTTCTCTGTTACATCAGACGGACTCCATGCGCGTGAACAGTTGTGAGACTTGTGACTTGGTGAGTTCAACTCTCACTGAAGAAGTCAGAGCCAGAGGGGAGGGGGAGGAGCTTCCCGCATGTGCTTTTGGGAAAACCCAGGAGCCAATCAGGAGGCAGCAGGAGAAAGCCCCGCCCACTGCCTGCAGGCACTCCAAAGTAGGTTGATAAAGAAAAAAACCAAAACACAACAGCTCAATCCACTGAAAAAATCCAAATCAAAACTGATTTCTAAATATTTCAGTTTAACATGGGGAAAAAGTCAGAATTCAGACTTTAATCTCATAATTCTGACTTTTCTCTCAGAATTCTGACTTTAATCTCAGAATTTTGACAGCTAACAAAAATGTTAGCATCAAGCTGTAGCCATGTCTCTTGTTTTAATCACATTCTGCTCTTCCATTATTAAAATAGCATCAGGGACCCCTCAGGCACGTAAAAAAGTCGCCTAATTCTGAGATTAAAGTTAGAATTCTGCGAACAAAAATGTAGAATTCTGAGATTTAAGTCAGAATTCTGACTTTTTTCCCATATTAAACTGAAATATTTAAAAATCAGTTACCTTTTTTATTTTTTCAGTGGCCCTTAAACTCTTCCATAGTTTTGCACTAAATATGTAAATGAGAGAAATTAATTAAACATAGACTGATTTATTTTGTCATTTTGTATACACGAGTGTATACAGAAAAAAATTTAGTTTAAAACAGCTCTAAACAATTTCATTTTTAAAAATGCCACCTTGAACAATAGTAATACATAAAAAATAGTAATAAACTGTATCAGTTCTAAGATTATCTTTTTTTTTTGTGAATTTATAAATAAATTAGATATCAACAAATCAAAGTTTAACTTAAAATAACTTCTAGACAGACTCTAAATCAGAGGGTTTTTCCTTATTGTTAAGATTTCTTCAAAAGAGAAATTTTTTAAAGAGGGTTTAGTTAGTTTTTTTTTTTTAATTGACTTTTGTAGTAATATGTACAGGGTTTATACTTGAATGAGTAACTCTAATTTAATGCTTTTTAATGCTCTTAAGTATAATTTTAATGCCATCATCAGGTACCCAGTTATATAAATAAATTAAAAAAAATGCAGAATCCTGCGTCATCTTTACCGTAGACAAGCTGCAGCCATTTCCCGCATTCCTCATTTTCTGCCACTTTTTGTTGAAATTTGCATTTTCCCATTCTCTAGATTTTTTTCCACCTCAAGCTTACGGCTTTTCGATCAACCTGAAGCAGTTCTGCGCAAATATATTGCAATATTTCTTCTTATGATAAAAAAAATCTATAAATTTTTCAACATTTTAAATGCCACAATAATCACATTTAATGAATTTTAATGGCAATTAAGGTCTTAATTTTGAAAATAATAATTTAATGACTTTTAATGACCCGCAGAAACCCTGTATGTAGTAGGATATTGAATTAGCTCAGTCCCGATCCACACTCCATTTCAGTTGGTGGTGGTAATGCATCAAAAAGTTGCTTGCCAACTGCCATAAAACACAATAAGAAGAAGAGGAACAGCTCGACACAAAACATTGGTGTGGTTGCTGTTTACACCTGGGATTTATTAGTTCCTCCTCAATTACTCACTGGGTTCTTATCAGGAATATATATAGATATATTTTAATGAGGAGCACACTACCTTTATTGTTTGGGAAAGGCTCAATGCTTTTAGTTTACTATATGTCACATGACTGTTTGCAGGACTGATAAGAGTCCTTTGCTTTATTTGAAGTCTTTTTTTAGTAATACGAAGTATTTTGATTGTTGAGCAAAAAAAAAAAGCAACAAAATAGTGATATCATCTACATTTTGCCATACATTGGCTTAAAGAAGAGATATGCACAGAGCATGGTAGAAAATTACTTAATAAAGTACTCAGTTGGTGATTTTTTACTTTTAACTTATTTATTACTATAAATGTTAAACAAATCAATGCATTTGTAATACCAAGGCTGGATTATTGTAATTCTTTACGACCAGGAAGTTGGCAAACTATAATTACAAACCCTTCAGCTGATCCAAAATTTCTAAGCCAGAGTTCTGATGAAAATTAAAGAGATTGCTGCGTGCATGCTCTGTGTTAGGAATTGCTGTTAAGTCAACAACTCTAATGAAAGCACAAGTCAAGCGAATATCTATTGTTGCCACATGCTTATCTAGGAGGAGCAAAACCTGCAAAGTCAGTAACTGGATGCAATCAGCTGGTTTTCCTCAGATAGAAAACTTTGAACCAGTTTGAACGAATGATCAGATGAAACCGTCTGTGAAGAGCCTTAAAAGCTAATGTGATGTGAATTGGTGCTGTATGATTAGACTGAACTTTTACACAACAGAATTAACAGCAAAACTTATATAAAAAACTTTCCTGTGAACAAAACAGGAGGTTTGGGAACCAGTGCATTCAGCAGCCATGCCTCGACGTCACATAAGGCACATCCATTGTCGTTCCCTCCACCTGCA